GCCAAAGCCTTCATGGAAAGGATGGGTTTTGAGGAAGGATTTGAAGTAGGGCTGCCAAGTGGGGGCGGGTAAACCCCCGCTTTGGAGGCCCGATTTCCCCCACCGCGGAATCGGGCCCCTGGGGGAACTTCGCCCCCCGAAGCACAGTGTGGCTGCGTCACCAGAGGTGACGCAACCATGTCGATCACGTTGGGGGCATGGCCCCGATCGTCAGAGGGAAAACTCTATGGTTTTCCCTCCGACGATCGGGGCCACACCCTCAACGTGATCACAGTCACGTGTCACTTCCGGTGACGTGCTGGCGGCGCGCGCACGACGAGGGACGGCTCCCGGAGCGCGGTGAGGCTTCCCCGCCGGTGAGTAAAATTCAGTTGGCAACCCTAATTTGAAGGGAGAATCAGCACCACTTAGATCAGTGATCTGCATTGTGGAGCTTGTGAGTGCTATTGTGCCCACCAATATATTTCCCGGCATTCACTTGCTTCTTCCTTAAAAGAAATAACCAGTCCTGGCATTTCTCATTTTCACTGGAGCAGAGGGTGCTTCAGAAGAGTCCAGGGGCTCTTCTTTGTGTGTGCAGGATACACCCATTCAGAAAGAGTCCTCTTCATCTGTGATGGAATAGGCCTGCTTTGACTTGCAGGCCCCACTCTGCCCACCCACTCTGCCCCACTCCTCGGCATTGCCAGTTTGGTGTAGTGGTTAGAAGTGCGGACTCTAATCTGGGAAAACCGGGTTTGATTCCCTCCTCCTCCAAAATCCAAAAAGATTTATTGAAAAGAAAATATTTACAAGCATCCTTAAGCACAGCACTAGATCAGCAAATGGATTTCAAAAGAAAATTGGTCATAAACACAATCCTTCTTTCCCTTCTCTAGACATACCCTAACTGATGTTAAAATAGGGCAGGCACTAATGATCTTAAAATGTTACAAGGCTCCTATCTACATCCCATTACCAGGGAGACCACATGTCAGCAAAAGATGGCCACTTGTCTTGGAACCTTTCATCATGGGATGCTTGTCTTGGAACCTTTCAATATTTTGTGGTTGGCCCCAGATCCCATGGCAGCCATTTTATGGTGTCATCCCTGCAGTGTTCTCTAAAAAGTGCTTGTGAGATCAACAAAGTTGAGGACCCCAATGCAGATGCTTGGGGAGGAAGTTACAAGCATATGGGAATGGAACAGAGAATGACTGGAAACATCTGCTGTAAATAATACTGTAGGTCAGTGCCATAAAAATATGTTTGACTATCCATACAAACACAATGTCTCTCTCTCTCTGATTAGCTATGTCAGTAGTTAATGAAGGCTCAGACACTGGGCCTTTTAACTTCACAATGCTGTCTTATGTTTCCCATAATACTTTGTTTTCATCCACTTTGCTGCAAGAAGAAAGGTGTCTAGGAAGCCACTTCAGAGGTCAAACTGGTAATGACAAAGGTTGTATCCAGAGCAGCCATGCTGATGCATTTCAGTCCAGTTTTGTCTATCGTACAAATACATTTTCCATACTTTCCTGAAATTGCATAAGTGAAGTATTTCTCTTTTGAAAATAAATTTTAAAAATGCTGAATTTGTACATTAGGTAGGGTTGCCAAGTCCAAATTTCTTAAAAGTGGGGGACTCCCGGACGTCCCTGGGAGTCCCCTGGCGTGCGTGTGAAACGCGCGCATCGTGATCACGTCACCTGGAAGTGACGCAATTGCGTCGCGCGCGTTGGGGGTGGGGCCACAATCATCCGAGGGAAAACCATAGAGTTTTCCCTCGGATGATAGCGCGTCCCCCCCCCACAACATGCCCGACACGATTACGTCACCTCCGGGCACGTCACACACGCCGAGCACATCATGCGCTTTGGGGGTGGAGTCCCCCCGGCGGCCCAATCCCCGCCAGCAGGAAACGGGCCTCTCGGGCGGGGGTTTCCCCACCCTCCGGCGGGACTTGGCAACCCTAACATTAGGACACCTTAAATAGGATTACAGTAGATGAACAGATCCGATTAGCAAGGTGTCTGTGATAAATAGATGCACGGGCAAAGTGGCCTAAGTCTACTATGCTGATAAAACAAAAGGCTCTGAGGAAGATGACAGGACAGAGCAATGGCAAAGAAGAAGGAAGAGTCTGCACTTCTTTACACACCAGGAGCATAAACAATCCCAGGATCCAGATTATGGGACAAACTTCACTATTTCCTTCAGTGGTTTTCTGTGGCAGATCATGAAAAAGGAAACAAAAACTCATGTGAAGTTAGAGTGTTCCACCCACATGAATCTTGGATTGATCTAAGGAAGCCTGTAGTGTCATTTCAGTGTATCCGAGATCAGACTGTACCTCCTCAATCACTTCATGTTTGCACAATGAACTAATGCTTCCACCTAGCTTACCTACTTGAACTTGAGAACCTTCTGTTCTCTTCCTTTCTGACCTGTGTATTTGTGACTATCACAGTGTGCTAGCACTGGATTGGTTACCTAGGACAGGATTCAGTATCATCTCAGGGCCAATTCATATGTTACAAACTCCACATGGTGGACACATGGATGTTGTAATTAGTTCACTGTACCAGTATACAGAAATGTAGGCAGATAATTAAGAAATTGAATGAGAGATGGATACCCTTTCATTGCTGCAATCTGAAAAATCATTTTCAAGGCAATAATGAAAACTGTCCATTGTAAATATTTTTCTGGTTGACAACATAATCATGTATTTCATGTTTGGTTTAATGTGTACTTTTTTCAATAAGATGAGAAATAGCAAATAAATGCAGTGTTTAAGAACCAAATGAAGAGTTAACTTAAAAACCAGTGGTGGGATTTCATGGCCCTGCATCGACTTGTTTTCTCATATACCTAACAGGAGCACAATAGATTATGCAAATTAGTCAGGAAAAGTTGTCTAATTTGCATAATTCATCCGATATGTGAAATTTTACCTCTTAAAGCAAAAGAGAGAGAGAGATTTCCCCCCTCTTATGCAAAGTATATATCCATCTTCCTGATTCCAGTGTGACAATACTTTGTTGTTGTTATTATTATTTATTATATTTATGAATCACCCCACCCCTGCTAACTTACAGTCTGAATAACCCTGATTACGCTGATTTCATCAGATTTCATCAGAGCCTGGAAGCTAAGCAGGGTTGGCCGTGTTTAGTAGTTGAATGGGAAGGCTGTGCAGAGGAAGATGGGGGTCGCTATGCAGAGAAAGGTAAAGGTTCCCTTGCTCGAAAGCCAGTCGAATCCGACTCTAGGGTTGCAGTGCTCATCTCCGTTTCAAAGCCGAAGAGCCAGCACTGTCCGAAGACGTTTTCCGTAATCATGTGGCTGGCATGACTAAACACCAAGGCGCACGGAACGCTGTTACCTTCCCACCGAAGTGGTACCTATTTATCTACTTGCAATTTCTTGTTTTCGAACTGTTAGGTTGGCAGGAGCTGGAACTAGAGACGGGAGCTCACTCCGTCATGCGGCAACTCGGGTCTCGAACTGCTGAACTACCAACCTTCCACAGCCTGCAGTTCAGCGTCTTAACCACTTGAGCCACTGCAGCTCCTATGCAGAGAAAGGCAATGGCAAACTGCCTCTGCTCCTCTCCTGCCTTGGAAACCCCATGATGGGGGTCGCCGTGAGTCATTAGTGACTTGACAGCGCAAAAGTATTATTCTTAGCTTCTCGTCTGTTTGTTTGGTTGGCATCAGCGGTTGTGCTCAGGGCTTCTTTTCGCACAGTTGAGTTCAGCTTCCCCCCACGAGGAGAGCTACCGCCCCCTTCCCAGCTGTGCCACTGCTTCTCCACAAACTCAGCATGTGCTGACTGGGCCTTTTCCACTGTGTGAAATTGCATACCGAAAGCTAAAAACATACCTTGGAACAGGGCTAGCATGGTGGTGGGTACGATGAGTGATCCTGGGTTTCTGTATGAATCGCCTTGTGATTGCTTCCCGAGTGAGTAGTTTTATTATGGAAACAAGCCCTCCTTTGGCAGGAGGCTGTTCAGCTGGGAGGTTGTTACTTCTGCAGAAAAATTCCCACGTGGTCATTACTGTGGAATAAGGCCATACTGTGAAGAGGAGCATCTTTTGTAACACTGGGGGAGACTTTGTGTTGTTGTGCATATCAACAAACATGATTCATGATAATGACCAAACTATGAATACAAAATTATTCATAATGATGACCAATTCTGTACAGATCCGTCTACTGCTCACTCTTCCCCCGCCATCCCTACCACAGTGCTTCCTCTCTCTACTTGTCCAGTCTCTTCCTTCTTCACTTTTGTCCCTTTTCAGTGCTGCTCAGCACTTTCTGGGACCATTCCAGTCTTCTCTTCCTTGCACTTCCTTGCCTCATCCTCAGTGTTCCCTTGTATCGTCTGTCCCTCTGACTGGCTTGGATCCTGTGACATTGCTCTCCGGCATGTTTCTCTCCTCCGCTGCAGAGGCCTGCTTTCTCTTCCATTAGCATTTCTGCTTGCACAAGATCAGTGTTTTTCAAGGAGCATGCAGAAATACTAGCAGCAGGGAAAGGCGGCACAGCCGCGTACGGAAGCATCGACAGCAGCCAGAGAGAAGTGTGAGGGACATGATTTATTTATTTATTTATTTATTTAAGTATTTTTACCCCGCCCTCCCCGCAAGCGGGCTCAGGGCGGCTGAGCCATTGTGTTTTTCTGTCATCTGGAAAAATCTTAAAACTGCACAGTCAGGAAGTATTTTGGGGGGCAGGGGGGTATACTAATAGCAGCTATTAAACCTTTCTGTTGCACCTTCTGGAGCTGGCAAATGAGCAGCACTCCCGTTTGTCCGTATCTCTAATTATTCAGTAGCTCTGGAGGTAGTTCAGGCCTTTCAGTTGGCAAGGGTGTTCTGAAACCAAAATGCAGGCTGAATCCTTCCCCACTAAACAGCACCAGCTCTCTTGGGTACCTCATCAGCCATGAATGCAGCTTCTTAATACGGGCACAAGCAGTTCATGACATTTTCTCTCTTTTGGCAGGTGTTGACAGCGAATGGCTTTGGTGCGATCACAACTGAAATCCGTGAAGCTCCGGAGTTCTACTATGCTGAAGATTACCACCAGCAGTATCTAAGCAAGCACCCCAGTGGGTACTGCGGTCTTCGAGGCACTGGGGTTTCCTGTTCTGTTGGAGGGAAGGAGTGAGCTTGACTCATGCAATGATGTTCAACACTTCAGTACAAACCGAGCTCAGGATTGGTGCTACAGTTTGGCTGCCGTCTTCAGTGTACTTACCCACAAGCAAGCGCCACGGTATCTTCTCATAAGTAAAAGATTGAGGGCTGAGCACTGTGTAAATGCAGCAAAACAGAACGTGAAGCCTTTTGTGAACTGTACCACAGCAGATGGGGGAAATCATGTTTTTGAACGCTCTCCCACATCAAATTCCATAAATATAGAAAATAGCAGAGGAAGGCTTGGCCTTCTGTGGTGTACCAGTTTTAGGAGGGTTTTTTTTTAAGCGTGGAGGGGAGGCATTAGAAATGCCACCCCTCATCTGGAGTTTCTAATTTTGTTGAACATGTATGCACCAGACTCCCAGCACCATCACTCCGCTTCCCCACACACACACACACACATACTTACAACAGTAGGAACTGAATGGGTGTTGCACTAGATAAATTTCTGGACCAGAATTGGTAGGCAAAGGGAGCATATGTGCAGGGAGTAGAGAAATGGAGGTAATGGAAAACACACATTTACAGCCTCCCTGGTGGGCGGGGAGGGGAATCCACTGCAGGGATTTGGAGTAATGAAACGGCGGGGGGAGGGGGGGGGCTAACCAGAATGTTTGCTCAAACACACCATTTCTCCATTCTCCACTTCTTTCTCCCAATGTTGCTTTTTAAAAAAATTGCATCAGGGCTCAGTTACCAAATGTCTGGCTGCGTCCTCAGCTCCTTAACCCTGTGCTGGATGTACATTTGTTGCTGTGCTTGGAGAGTTTAATTTTTGCAAAGGGAGTCCTGGGTAGAGGTTCCGTAGGCACAGCTTACCATGCCCGCTTAATAGCTGTGGTTCAAAGGCTTCTGTGGACCTCTTAAGAGGGGGGGGCTTTGCTGATGGTAAGTGTGAAAATCGAGAGTTTTTACTTTTGGGAGCCCTCAGGTGAAGGAGTTGCAAGGTTTTTTTCTGCAGCACAAAAGGAAGTTTGCGATCTTAACTTTAAGCTGTTTCACTCCTGGGTGTTCTGCTTGAAATGGCTATTAAACACAGTTGTTTTCAAAACTGAATTCTGGGATCATTCTCTTCCTCCACCACCAGTTTTATTGGATTGAAAGGTGTATATAATTGAATTACAGGAGGATTTCATTGTTCCTTAACTGTGAGAACGAGTCTCATTTGGGAGAGCAAAAGAAGGGTAAGCTCTGTGGACCTCAGCTTTGGTCTAGATCAATAAGAAATCGGTCTCAGATGTAACACAGCACAGAGCTGCAGACAACAAGTGAAAGGAACTTGGAGTTGTTGTTTTAAATGTACAAACTCCAAGCCAGAGGCACTTACTGACTAGCCCAGAGGATGGGCAGGCTTGATAAATCTGCTTAGTAAACTTCAAATCCGCTCCCAACTTAACAGAATTCCCTATAGGTAGAGGAGTGTGGGAACCAGAGTATAACACTGGTGAGTAATTTCTATCTCTCCAGCACAAGGATGAAGTGAGAACCTGCTCTGTATTAGAACCAGACTAGACAGTGCACATGACGTAAGCTGGGCTATTCACACATAACATCGGTGAACTAAAGTTTGTTACCCGAACTCCTCTAAGGATGGTTCCGGGAGCCCAAATCGGCTAACCTACAGCCGCGGACTTTTGCGTGAGTTCTAGTCCCGTGTATTTCCCAGGAAGTCAGACAACACACTAGAGTTTACTGAATAAATGTTGCCTTTACTAAAGTAGTTTCTTCAGACATACCAAAACAGATACATACAAGATTCGCACAAGCTCCTTAGTTACAATAGGATATAGAAACACTCAGCATGGAAAATAACAAAAGCATCAAATAAGGGGATGACTCTACAGGTAGACGGTCATACTTATCTGAGGTCCAGCTGAGAAGAAATCTCCTCTTAGGAAAGAAGGGCAGCTAAAGCATCAACTGGTAGACTCTAAAGACACACGCAGGCTGGTCCGGCCAAGCCACGTGCGCGTTCCCTGGTCGCGACTCCGGGGAACTTGGTAAGAGTCACCTGAAGCACCTTAGTGCACGTTAAGGGAGGGGAGGGTTAACCAGAGAAACAAAGACGTGTTTCTCTTTTTAAAAGCTACGTTTTGGGCTTGGCTTAAGGCCATAAAAATCCCTAGGGTCCGTCCTCTCTACTATGGCTATAGGTCCAAAGGGGGTGACGTCCTAATGAAGGGGAAGGGGCAATATGCAGATATTCTACCCTAACTTCAAAGCGCAGCCATGTGGTGAGGTGTGAACCTTCGTCTCCATTGGCAACCTTTGACTTGCAGAGATGTCTCTGGTCCAGAGCCATAAACAGTATTGTCTTTTTGATGCCAAAACCAGATAGCAGGGGGAGAGTTACGTGGTTTCCCACAGATCAGCAATGGTGGGGTAAGCTGTTGTTTTCCAAGGGTCCAAGTTGGGTGTGATGGCGCTGGGTCTCCTCTGTCCTCGAGGCATTATGGGAGGAATTCCAGGGAAGCACATGTTCTGCAGAAGCAACAGGCAGCACAGGTCTTGCCTATTCATAGGCAAGCATGAGATGCAAAGCAAGCTATACAAACAGCAGTAATCCCTGAGTCCCCCAATGCACAGATACACAGACATGAAACCCACACAGGCAGAATCAACACAATACAGAAATGCAAACACAAGCACCCATGGTAACAAGTTCTCATACCCTACAGGGCCCGGTTTTGCTCTGGAGCCATGTACAAGGGCGCCTTCCCTCCCAAGCTATTTTCTGAGTGGGAGGACCTGTTTGTTCTGATGTAGTGCACCATGTGCTGCAATCAGTAAACATGCTATGGGGCCATGGCCATTTCGGCTCAGAAAACAGCACAGAAGGGAAAGCTACCCCCCTCCCCCCCGTACCATGCTCCTGAGTCAAATTGGGCCCCAGACTGCTTGGAAACATTAGTTCCCCAGTTTTACCTGTGATTGCAAATCAGGTCCGGGATTCCCCACCCTTACTCATGTTACAGGTATCGTCCTAGTTTGGCCCTTAGAAGCCAAATCCTGTCTGTTTTGCAGAATGTCTCGGGGACTGGAAATAGGGAGAGCAGAAGCTCTAGGGGTATAGGAGGGGGTTGCACATGCATGCACAGGGTGTGTTCAGCCCCCTTTCCCAACCAACTCATCTCCTTCTCACCTCTCAGAGTATCCTGGCGCAAGGAGAAAAGTAGAGCAGATTGCTGTTTTCCATTGGATGCCTATATTAAGGGCCATTCAACACTGCTCTTTCCTAAATGGGGTTTGTTATGACTTTAGATCCCCTTCCTGCTCTCTCCCCTAGGCTACCTTGCTTGTACCTAGAACTATGCTGCCAAAATAATTCACTTGGCTTCCTCTGTACTCCCAGATTCATCTCATCTTTACTTTCAGAGCTCTCCTTGGTGCTTGAGACCCGGGGACCTGGCCAGATACTCCTCCACCCTGTCTAACCCGATTGGCCTGATTTATATGACTACCACTCCTCTCTTGTGAAATCACTCCTCAGCCTAGCCCCTTTTCCACGATGTCTTTAGGCACAGTCCTTACTAGAAACTGAATTCAGGCTAAGTATGAGTAAATGAGCTAAAGGGATACTCTTCCCCTACTTCACCCAGTGCAACCAGTCCACTGCATACTAAAAGCTACATGAAATCCATTCGACCTGTGTCTGTAATGAGCCAGTTTGGTTTTGAGCTGCTCATCAGTGAGCAAAACCCTTATTTTTCAGCCAGTCTGTGTATTTAAGTGTTTGCCCTTGGCCAGGTTGTAACACGTAACTCCTTCCCTCCTACTGAATCTCCACATTGTGCACAGAATGCCTAGTTCCTATAGTAACAGAATGCATTGTGTTGAATATTATATCTCTGAATTGTTCTGTTGTTCACTGTCAAGGAAACCTGCACTAAATCTAATTTCCCAGGCACAGGGGTGAAAAGGAAGTGAAAGGGAGAAAGGTGTATAATAATGGCGCTGATTCTTTACTCATACTGTTTTTACCTCCTTGGTTTGTACTTGTTTGGAGGGAGCGGGCGGCTTTTTCTCTTTCGTTAAGAAGCCTCCTTGGCAAGAGAAAGGCTGATTTCTCTGGAATAATAACAATTTAAAGCTTCAGAGTCACATAGAGGTTTCAAAGTGCATCTTCATTTTTTGAATTGAGGTATTTTGTACATCTCTTCTTTCTCTTACAGCTAGACCAGTTTTGCTTATCAACTGAATTTGAAATCTGTAAATGGAGTTCCCCCCACCCACCCGTCCGTCTAGGTCAACAATGTCTTCCTGAAGTATTAGGAAGATCTAGGCAGCGGGGGCACCTCTAATTATGCCATATTATGTTGTAACAGAAGTTTTGATCAGACATCCCACCCCTGAGCTGGCTTCCCCGTATGCTCGCTCTGTGATCGATCATTCAGATTATTGCTGCGAGTCAACCATGGAGTGCGCATTTGGGCGGCATCCCTTTTTAAAAAAATTGTCTTTCAGGCATGGCCAGAAGTTCTTAACAGAAGCACCACTCCATTTTGACAGCTCCGTGATCCCTCCACCAAGTACTGTGGCCGCTCACCGTCTCCTGTGATTTGCCTCTCTTACTTGGAATACAGACTTACATGAGAGGAGCCCCATTGACATCAGTGCATTTACTCTTGTGTCAACCACGGGATGCTCTCAAACAGCAACTTCTTCTGCTAACACAGTTTGCATGGGGGAAAGTGGGATGGGGGGATAGGGCTGCCAGCTCCAGGCAGGGAAACTCCTGGAGATTGGGGGATGCAGCCTGGGGAGGGCAGGGACCTCAGTGGGGTATAATGCCAGAGAGTCCACCCTCCGAAGCATCCCTTTTCTCCAGGGGAACTGATCTCTAGTCTGGTGAACATACCCAGAAAGCCCTGCACACACTTTTGGGGGCTTCTATTCAGCCCAAGTTTGCTCAGAAGCAAGATTGCCTGGATTTTAACATTTTTCCAGCTTTCCCCAGGTCTCCCTGTATTAGGGATGCTCGCCTTCCCAGGCTCCCTGCCAATATGGGAGCTTAACTAGGGACTGTTTACATGGCTTTCCCACCCCAAGAATCAGGAGAGGGAGGTCTTTTGGGAGGGATTTGTCACTCAAAAACAATCCCCCCCGGGGCTCCCTATCCTGACAGAACTGTAGAAATGGTGCAGGAATGGTGCAGGCATGCACAAGTGGTGATTCACAACCCTGGGGCATCGATCCATGTATGCACGCATTGCTAACTGCATTTTTTAAAAAGGCGTGAAGATGGAAGTGTGCAATCAGACTTCCAAACAGCTTGAGCTCACAAGAGAGAGTTCAGACATCCAGGAATGCATGGTAAAAGCACTGACATCTGTAAAGACCGGATTTCCCCTGGTGTCAAATAACTCCAATTCAAAGACGGGTCAGAATGGGGTGCCAACAACTGGGGAACAGAAGGCAGACGTTGCTGTCTGATCATGCACTTTAAATCCGGAAGGGAACAGCAACAACATTGGATCAAACTGCTTGTCTGACTGCAGCCATAGTCATAATTCTTCAAAAATTCTGGCTTTCTTGAATCTCCTTTATTAGTCTTTGTTATGAAGAAGAGAAGAGGTAGGTAGGGCTGAGAGAGAACTCGGACAGAAACTGCTCTTTTTCAAGGACAGCTCTTATCAGAACTACGGCTTGCCCAGGGTCATCCAGCCAGGTGCAAGTGGAGGAGTGGGGAATCAAACCCGGTTCTCCCAGATGAGACTCCGCGCACTTAACCACTACACCAAACTGACTCTGTTTATTATACTAGCAGAACTAGAGACTATTTATTATACTAGCAGAACAAATAAGATCTACTGCACCAAAAACAAGACTCCAGTGGTATCTTGGAGTCTGAAACATAGCATGATATTTCACAGGCCATAACCTGCATCACCATCTGCTGGAACTAAACAGTGAAAATCTTCTGGTTATGTGTGTATGTAAGGCTATACACATACACACACATCCGGTAAAGGAAGGGGGGAATTTGCAAGATGAAACTTCTT